TCATGCTGGGCACATGACCCGGAAGCTGTACGCCGGCTCCCTTGGCCAATAAAGCGAGATGAGCGCCACAACCCCAGAGTCAGTCACGACTGGACCTAATGGTCAGGGGTCCCTTTACCTTTACTTTAAAGGACTGAATAGGCAATGAGTGAGATATTATATTGCACCCTTCCCGCGGGATCTCTTGGTTCCAACTGGTTACCAAAGGCAAAAGAATAAAAGAAGTTGACAAATGTTCCCCACTCTTCCTTATCTCCTGGTGATAGGGAAGAGTAGAGGACATTGGTTCAGGAGATCTCCACCAGTTTTCTCATGAGTAGGCCCTTGCTTCTCTGTTCCTGGCAAGGGGACTAGCCGGCAGCTTCATGTCCTCTCCTTCCTGGGTCAGCTGCAAGAAAAACACAACTTCCTGTGGCCTCTGTGGTTAGGCTACTGAGCCTTCCACGGTTTGAGTTGTTTCACCTCCTTGATCCTCTTGCCCTAATGTGGGCTCAATTCCTGTGTCCCATAGCCTCAGTACAGTGGGAATACTGTTTACTGAGCCTACCCTTCATATGGTCATAGAGATTGTGCCCTGTTCATTTAGCCACAACCACACTTGACCCCGAATAAGTGGCGAGTAAGGGATTTGTGCATTTCTGTCAAATGTCAGCCTTCCCAATTGTGATGTGTCCATTATATCTGGCAGCCAAAGCACTTGGTAGACATCTTCCAAAGCAGGGTGACCTTCAGTTCAGCCAAAATGAAATCCATAGTTTTAGTTTCCAGGGCAGGGACCCTATCTTCCCAGAGGAACTTTGAGACACACACCTCCTCATGAAAGCTGCAGTTTCAACAATGGGCAGAAAATATCCTCCAAAGCAGTGGAAAGGTTACACAGCTTGCTCAAGAAAGCAAACGTTCCATGCGTCTGCCCCCAGTGTTAATTTTAGCCTCCCCAAATATTGAAAAAGAGCACAATTTCGACACACTGGTGGGTTGCTACATGAAATGATTATTTCAGGCTCCAAGTGTTTCAGTGTCTCGGCATGGAGGCATCCAAACTTGGTAGGCAGGACATCTGGCATTAGCATGATCTTGATTTGAGGGAACGCAAGGTCCTGCTGGAATTCTAGCAAACTTTTTGCACAGTATATTGTGCTAAGCAAAAACGGGCAAGATTTTGAAGGGTTCCATCTTTCTGAGCGAGCCTGGGAGAAGGACAATCTCCCTTGGTGTTTCAATATACACCTTATTCATGTTTCCTTGAGGGAAACTCATACAACAATAGCAGGAGCAGGGATTTAAAACTGTGAGGAGAAACCACTGATGGGAGCAATCTTCATCTATTGTCCTGCTCCATTTCCTCCAGCCACTTTGTGTTTCACCTGTGGCCAGGTGAAAGCTGCTGGCACCAGAGGAAGAGATGAAGCATTGGAGGCTGTGCTGGATGGTACCTGCACATTTCTGAGCTCATTGCACATCACGCTGGAATGCTGGAAACAGCATACAAAACCCTGGATCACCAAGACCATGGGCAAGCTAAGAGTTGCATCCAATAATCCTCTGTGACATTATAGGACCGGAGTAGACAACATGGTGCCCTCCACACACTGTAGAGTCCAACTCCCATCAGCTACAGTGAGCATGGTCAGGGATGGTGGGATTTGTAGTGTGGCAGCATTTGGACAGTACTATGTTGGCTATCCATGTTGTAGGGGATGCTGGGGTATATCACCCCTAGCTAGCAAGGCCAGAGCTCAGGGATGATGGGAGTTGTAGTCCAACAACATCTGGGGACCCACAGGTTGAGAACCGCTGCTCCAGTGCATAGAATGTGGCAAAAAAATATGTTTATAGCAGATGTCCGTCTTTCCTTACAGGAAACTCCATAGTATTGCGGGACATGTCATGGGTATGGAGTTCAGAGGGAACTGGGGCAGCTTTGATAGTAAATTAAAATGGATTGGGTTAGATAAGAGTATGCTAGATGAAAGGTTCCTGTCCTAAATATGAACCTTGTAACAGGTATTGCTGAGCAATGATGAATGAGCCGAGGGTCCATTATATTGAACCTCTGCACCTGTGTAAAGGCCATAGACTTCTATAACTGTACCCTCCAGGTGTTTGCCTCTGCCTCCCCTCTAAAAAGTTCTTTTTAGAGGGGAGGCAGGGCCCACTGTGTGACCTTGGGCCAGTTTCAGTCCCTACCTCACAGGGTTGCTGTGCAGATGAAATGGGTGGAGAACTTTGAGCTCCATGGATGAAAGGTAGGATATAAAAATGGAATAATCAATAAATAGGCATCTGCTAAGTCACTAGATAGCCTGGTTGTTGTTGTTTTTTAAAAAAATTCTTTAAAGAGTCAGGACTTAACCGGATCTGTCATCTTTTAGTATTTGTTTGCCAAGTTGGGACTGAAGTCTCTCTAAGCCATTTGTGCACAAAACCATTAGGGGATATCCAGGCCTGGCCTGCTTCTTGAATTACTCACTCCAGCTGAGGGATGACATTTGCTCGGCTTGACTTTCCACCCAGTAACCTTTCACCCACTGAAGCTGCCTAACCTCTGCTTGACTCTTTTTTGGGGGAGAGGGTGTTAAAGGGTCTAGGTTCAAACTATCTTGAGATTTAGATAAAGGTTCCTTTGTTTGCCCAAATGAAACATCCCACCACAAAAGCCTGACCAACCGCTGCAAAGTTGGGTACTTGTGGCTAACCTTCTGCTGCATGGCAAATATTGTCACAGGGACATTTTTGGCGGTCTGAAGACTTCTCTGATTAAATTGAAGGTGCAAATTTAATCTTGTGTACCAAACAAAGGATATAAACTGGTGAGCCAGAATGTACTGTCCTCCTTTGTGTTTAGGGGGATCTGAAGTTGAGCAAATACTAAGTGGCCACATGTGAAACTGGGGGAAAGAAGTCCATTTTCACCATAGTTGAACAGTGGGTGTTCACCCCTTGATCTGAAGCCCATTCTTTTTCTACTCTGTCATCCTTTAAACTAGGCAACTAGTAAAGTGGCTCTATAACTTCAAGGCATGTTCTGCTTTTTTGTTTTTAAAAATCTGTTTCTTGACAAGCTTGACATTTCTTGACAAGCTGTCCAAATTTCAGAGTGTAGCAGTGGTTACAACCATGTCTTTCTACCCTTTTGCTCATGCCCTTGCACCTCATTCTCCACATCAGGGATAGGGAGCATGTGACTCCTGATGTTGCTAGACTCCAATTCCCACATCCCTGACTATTGGCCATGCCACCTGGGGCTGATGGGAGTTGAAGTCTACTAACACCGAGAGAGTTGCAGGCTCCCCATCCCCGCTTTACACTCTAGATCAGCCTTTCTCAACCTGTGGGTCCCCAGATGTTGTTGAACTACAACTCCCATCACCCCTTGCTAGCAAGGCCAGAGCTCAGGGATGATGGGAGTTGTAGTCCAACAACATCTGGGGACCCACAGGTTGAGAACGGCTGCTCTAGAGTTTCCTTTATCTCTACTGTACAGTGGGCTATAGTATATTTTTGGCCAATAAGTTACAAACCTTAAACCCCAAAGCATCCCATGATGAAGGATGTCAAATCTATCTGGCATAGCTTCAGCTCTTAGATCTACTTAGCATTGGTCTCCTGAATCTAGAGTTCCAGTAACGTAATCTCAGAGATATTGAACAACCCAAGAAGAAGGACATACTGCCTAATTGGTATTGATTTTTATTTTATTTAAAACATAACTATACTGCCCTTTATCAGTCAGGCAAGGATGCTACGCAACAAGGCAAAACAGTTCCAGGAAACTCGGCTGGTTAAAATACAGTAAAAATACACCAAGCGCTAAGATCTATTAAACTACGCTCTGCTTTTCTTGAGGTTTGAGTGGCATCCTTACTTGGACTTTTGGGACACCTTTGTTATGTTCAGTTTTAAGCTTTTTTATATGGTTGTGTGCACTTCTCTCTGTGTGTGTGTATGTGGTCCTCAACCTTCTGTCTCCAAAGTTTGGTGAAATTTTGATTTTTATAATGGGGAAAAAATATGAGAGAGAGACATTGCACACACCTTTGTAAATCAAGAAAATCTTTAATAAAAATACGTTAAAAAAAATGGACATGAAAAGGAAAAGCTTCCACAGTGCAATAGCAGATTCCATGCTTTGCCTGCATGAAGTTCTAGGTTCAATCACTGACGTTCCCACATCAAAACAATATGGGGTATCAGGGCTAGGAAAAAACACCCCTGCTTTGCACCCTTGAGAGTCCTCAGCAGCAACAGGAGACACCACCACCACTAAGTTTATTAATTCAAATTCCCCACAAAAAACAAATGGCAGGTAAAAATGATAGAATACATGCAATTGGCAAAAATGACAGGGAGAGTTAGAGGATATTCGATGCAGAAGTTGAATAAAGAATGGATAGTATTTAAAGAGTACTTGAAAAATTGTTGTGATAACAAAAATCTCCGGGCAGACCTTGAGTGATTCTTGTAATATATTGGTGACAAATAATAGAACGTTCTGTAAAGAATTGGAAAAATAAAATAATAACAAGGCACTGTGGGTAAAATAACAAAATAATAAACAGTACAATGAGAATAATCGGAAGTATATTTTATTTATTCCATCTTTTGTCTTCTTGTTTTCTCCTTTTTCTCCTTTTTTTTGTAAAGTATGTGTATGTAGGTTGTATGTTTTATATTATTGTATATTGATGTGTAGGTTGATGTTGATTGTTCAATAAAGTTCTATTTAATTTTTTTAATTATTAATTCAAAGTGAACAGTTTCTTCCTTTCTGGATTATCCAAGGTGCACTGTATAGCCGTGCACCTGACTTCTGAATTTACTTAAATTGAAATAAAGGTTTTTATGTTTATATCCCACATATATCATAGAAGCCCATCACACCTCGCCCCCGGCATTGGCCAGACACTGACCTGCTTAGCTTTAGCAAGGTGTTGGCCTCATGGAAATCCCTTTTCCTAGGCATCCTAATCTGATAGTCACCTTTTGTTCTTTTTTAGTGGCAAATGAAATGTTGCCGATGTGATTCCAGAAAGCCTCATGTATTCAACAGTCACCGGGTAGAAAATGTCCTCTCTTCTGCAGGAAATACGCGCTGGTGGCAATCCAAGAATGGTAAGCCTCTGCCTTGCTTAGTGGGCCTTCAAGAAAACCAAACAAACAGTGTGGACGTGCTCTGAACAATGTCTTGGTTGGATAGCACAGAATAGTAATGATAAGTTGAGTGGGGCAAGGGTTGTGTAGATTCAGCAAACAGGGCTTGGGTTTCAGTGGATTAAATGCAAAGGGGAAATGGATGACCTGACTAATGGGAAAATCCGTCTGCAATTTTGTTTTCACAACCTGCTATTCTAAAAACTGCTCTTTTCTGTCTCTTTAGATGAGAATCCTGTCTTTCTCCAACTAGATTTGGATAAAAAGTTCCAACTTGACAGCATCCTGATGGATTTCAGGGTATGTGAATAATAACTCTTACACTACAGTGGTACCTCAGGTTACATACGCTTCAGGTTACATACGCTTCAGGTTACATACGCTTCAGGTTACAGACTCTGCCAACCCAGAAATAGTGCTTCCGGTTAAGAACTTTGCTTCAGAATGAGAACAGAAATCGCGTGGCGGTGGCACAGCAGCAGTGGGAGGCCCCATTAGCTAAAGTGGTGCTTCAGGTTAAGAACGGTTTCAGGTTAAGAACGGACCTCTGGAATGAATTAAGTACGTAATCAGAGGTACCACAGTATTTACTGGGGGTATAGATGTGAATTCAGATGGCCTTGGGAAGCTTAGCTGAATATTATCAGGACTTCAGATACGTTACATGCACCAGTGGTTTTCAACCAGTGTGCCATGGCACTCTGGAGTGCCTTGAATGGTGGTCAGGGGTGCCGCGGGCAACACTGCCCTCATTCCTTCTTTCCTTCCCTCTCTCTTCTGATGCCCTCTCGCGTCTCTGCCTCCCAAAGGCTTGTGTAGCTGTTTGTTGCAGCAGCCCTGGCTACAAGCTCTGGAGGCGAATGGTGCCTCTGGGGCTGGTCAGGGGGTGCTGGTTGCCAGGAGCTGAGGCGGCATCAGAGTAAGCAAGCAAGTTGGGCAAGGGAGCCCAGCCAGCCAGTCCACCAGCCCTTGCTTTTGGGAATGGACAGACAAGTCCTATGCCCCTGTGGGGCAGTGTGAGGAGGCGCATCTCTTTGGGGCAGGGAGGGATGCAACTCAGAGACCAGGGGCGGCAGCAGAGGTGCCCAGAGGACTCCCAAGAAGAGGTTGGGGGAACACCTCACAAGGGGACGGTGTTCAAAAAAGGGTGAGAGGCTGCCAGCTCTGCAGGTAAGGGGGTGACATAACTGGGTTCCTGAGCCCCATACGGACGCCACAGAAAGGATGTAGTTGACCAAGGAGCTGTGGATGGTTGAAAACCTCTGGCATACACTATTATTGATCTGTTGGCTTAGGCTGCATCCAATTCCAACTCATTGTTTGTTAACGTTTTCAAAAAGATACAAGGAAAGGAGGAAAAACCTACATTAAAGAAACTGCAGATTTTCAAGAAGAAAATCAATTGTTAAGTTCAGAATCAAGCACAACATTAAGCATTTTTGTTCCATGTACAATTGTACCAAGTATATTGTGATGTGTTAATTTTAATTTTATGGGGGAGGAGGCACAATAACTCTGAGGGCACTGGAAAGACCCTTATGTCAGGTCTGACTATTTGTCCATTGAGCCCATGTCATCTATTTCTTTGGCAGAGATCTTCCCAGTCTTTTTATGTGAGCCTTTTTAACCAGAGATGTGAACTAGGGATTTCACTTGGGATGGTTTGCATGCTCTGCCTTGGAGAAATGGCCTGTTCCTTCGAAGTATATCTTCCTCTGTTTTGGCATGTCCAGTCCAGTCTGCTTTGATACCTCTTTTCCTCTGTCCCTCCAGAGTCCTCTGCCCACTGGCATGGTGATTGAGCACTCTACAGACTTTGGCAAATCCTGGAAGATTTATCAGTACTTGTCCACAGATTGTGCCACTTCGTTTCCACGGATCTCTAGAGGTCTCCCTCAGACCTGGAAGGATGTGCGTTGCCAGGACATCCAGACTCAAGCGCAGAACGGGGGGAAGGTATAGCAAATGTGATGCTTAATGGATTTCACCAGACTTAAGACTTCTAGGACCTAACTAGTTTGACAACAGCCATCCCCAGAGTGACTTTGCTGCACTGTGAAGGCACCTGCCTTCCACTCTTCCAGGTGCAGATCAACCAATGTCAGAGGGCCCAGCAAGCCCTTTTTGTGGAGAATTGGTAGCTCCTTCCAATGTAGCTGCTTTAGGGAACAGAAGGCTTCAGGTCTCTGGGGACAATTTATTAAGAGACATGCTGGAGCTCAAGAATCCACCCCCTGACTTGGAAAAACTGACCTCTGGTGTGTGTGGGGAAGCTGTTGAGTAACATTAATGAGGTGATATTCTGTGTTAGAGATGCTTTCCCTCCAACAGCGGTTTCAATGAAAACGTTGGCGGGTGGGTGTGACAACCCACTTGCCAATCATCTGACATCATAACAACATCAGGTGATTGTCAGGTAGGTCTTCCCACGTACTTATCAAAGTTGGCCTGTAGGGCAGGGGACAGATCTGCCCGCCCTGGGGGCGGGGGAGGTTCCCCACCCCTGCTCTAAATCATGCAGGGAATCTACCCAGACAAGGCTTTTCACTCCAGAAGTTATCACATAATTCAGCCTAGAGGAGCTGTACAACTTTGTTTAATGTGCAGTCCCACAAGTGCTTTGTTTCAGTGCTGCTTTTCCATGTGAGTAATGCATGAAGAGGGCTTGTGTTATGGCTTTCTTTAAAAGGAAAAAAAGTATTGTGGTTTAAATCTGTTTCATGGGATTTTAATTGTTGCTGCCATTTTTTGGCAAAGAGAGGGAGGGAGGGAGGGAGAAAATATCACACAACCCTCTTTTGGTGGGTGAAGAGACTATAGTCTTCCTTGTAGCAGTAATTCAGTGCAAAATCGCCATTTTAGTGCTAATGTAAATAGGCATTTGCCTAACTGGGAAGTGCCGTTGATTGTTTTTAGAATGACAGGATAGAAAATCTCATGCTTTGACTGCCATCTTTCCCCCCCTCCTCTGTTCTTCTAAGGTTGAGTTCAACCCCATTGGTCTTGCATCTGGGATGAGGACACCTCAAAGCCAAAAAATCAACAGTATGTACATATTATTTGTGTCTGCTGGGATGGGGTAGGGGAAGCTTTTGGGGGATTTCAGGGAGCAGAACTTGTTTAGGCACCCAAGTGGATGGTTTATAAAATCCGGTGCCTGAGCTCACTTTCTTGCTCCTCCTTCCTTTAACTTTAAAGTTAACTTCTTTATTGTCATTGCCCCCTCTCGGGGACAACGAAATTACTTGGCTGCTCCATCCACCCAGGTAGGGCACTCCACACAAAATCAAAACAACTATAAAAACACTAATTAAAACAATACAATATAATACAGCAAGGAAGATTAGATGACTTTCAAAGTCCAGGCTTCCCATTCAGGGCCGAGATCGCTCTGGAGAAGAAGCTGTTCTTAAGACGGCTCGTTCTTGTCTTCATCGTCCTGTATCTCCGTCCCGACGGCAGGAGCTCGAAGAGACAGTGACCAGGATGCGATGGATCTTTTACTATGTCCAGTGCCTTCCTATGGCACCTTGTGGCATAAATCTGCTCTAAGGTGGAGAGTGGGCAGCCAACAATGCTCTCTGCTGCCTTAACAACGCTGCACAACCCCATCCTGTCCTGGGTAGTACAGCTTCCGTACCACACACATAAGCCATAAGTGAGCACGCTCTCAATGGCACAGTGATAGAAGGCAAGCAGCAGTTTCTGCGGAAGATGGTTTTTCCTTAGAATTCTCAAAAAGTACAGTCTCTGCTGCGCCTTCTTCACAAGCCCCCTTGTGTTGACGCATCCCCTTTCCCTTGTTTGTCCTATTTTTTAGATCATCAGCCTGAGGGCAGGTCTTAGAAATGAGCTTTGTAAGCTGCTCTGGGAGCCTTTTAAGCTAAAGAGCAGGGTAAAAATTATTTAAATAAATTTGACTCCTTCATATACTAATGGGGTAAGTGATATAAGGTTCCTGTGTCTTTTGTGCTGACCTTCATCTGACTCCAGCCCTGACAGCCTCACTCAGACTTTTGGTGTGCTCCTCCGTGCCAGGTGGCAAGTGGTGTGTGCTTTTTTAAGGCCCACCTGGCCTGGCAGGTGCCAGTGATGTTTTGTCCTGGGAGGCCCAGGCACTTGCCCAAGGATCACAGTTGCTGATGCTGGGCTCAGTTTGTTAAATGTGGTTATTGGGACCTAACAGTTACGTTGTTTGTACTTCCATGTATTAAGAGGAAAACCACATCCAACGGAGTTCGCATCTCCCTTTCTCACTTGGTCCTTGTTCCAGGAGCTAAAGCCTTTAGGTCCCATCTCACTGTGTCTGTGTTTCCCTTCATTGCTCTTTCTCTTGTCTCCAAAAGATCTGGGCCAATTCACCAACTTGAGAATCAACTTCACCCAGCTGTCGCGTCCTGTGCACCAGGGGTACCGCACCCCCAGTGCCTTCTATGCCTTGAACGAGATGCAAGTGAAAGGGAGCTGCTTCTGCCATGGACATGCAGACCGCTGTGCTGCCCTGGACTCTGCTTCTGCAGGACACAATGTTATGGTGAGGGTGAGGACGGGGAAAGGTTGCTACAGATCTATGTATATCAGTTCTATTCTTCCCAGTTCTATTCTTAGATTCTCGCAGGCCTGCTCTGCAACCTGACCTCTCTCGACGGTTAAATTTGTCCTTACAGGTTTGTAGCGATACACCAGAAGCCCTCTGTGCTTTTGGAAAGCAGATAGTGTTTCCTTGTATTATGCAGAGTGCAAGTGACCGAGATGATAAAGGTCTTGCCATCTTCTCTGCCTTAGCCACAAAAAGAAGGTATTTGGCATAGCACAAAGGCCAACCAGCCTGCTTCAAATTGCATTTCTGACTATCTTTAAAAGGTCAATTACCAGCTGCCCTTGGGCCTAGTAAGGCAGCTAGTAGCTTCTTTCTAACTGGGCTTCTGGGGCTGCCCAGAGGGCTGAAAGGGAGGGCAGAACAGAGAGTGGTGTACATGTTCTCCTTTGCACATCCTTCATTCTGTAGCTCATTTTCCCTCCTCATTGTAGACATCATAGCTCCTCATCATAGCTCTTGGAGAGGAGAATGGGCAGAAGCAGAGAATGGGGATGGTGGAGAAAACCATTTTGTTCACATCTTGTGAGGTGAACCTATCCACCATTTCACGCTTCACACCAAATCACAGCAGAACGCAGCAACCGTTTGAAACGTGCACTTCTCTGAATGTCGCAAAGCTGTTTTCCAATCAAAAACCACCTGCAAAAAGGCAGATGCAAGCAGAAAGTGTGCCTCAGACTTGAACATATTAGTGAAAATAATGTACCAAAGTGCATTATTATATTAGAGAAAATGCAAGCATGTGCATTATTAGACAAAATGAGGAGAAATGCACACAAATATGTGCTTTAATTTTTGTGTGGACTTGAAAGGAAAATGCATTGTTGCAGAAATGAGGCAAACTGAACCTAAGACTGGGAAAAAGAAAGAGCAACTGAGACAGAATCACCCCTGCCTAGCAAAAAGGACTTGAGAAAGAAAATAATGCTCTGTCTCTGTGGTCCCTTCAGATGGGATATGGCTCCATTGGGGGACAGAGGAATGTGTGCAAAGGGCAGATGAGAGGGAGTTTTCTCTTGCTTTTGTGCACAGGAGAGTGCAAATAATATTAGTCAAACAAAGTGACAGGCTTCTTGCAGGGGGGAGAGGGTGCCTCAGCACACCCCCACACCTCGATTTATAGGTGGTTTGCATCTAGATATAAAAGCAACATGGCTTCCTTTATTGTCTGGCCTGGAGCAGCTTGGACTGAACAGGGGTTTCCAGACAGGAACTTCAGAGTTAAGCCTGAACTGTGAGAGGCAGCACACACAAAGAAGAGGGATTACACAGTATGGTTTTTTAAAATGGCAGCCGTATTCACTCTGATAAGCTTTTCAGCCCTGGGAGTTGCAGGGATCATCAGTATGGTCTTTTCTTTTCTTTTACTTCTGATATAAAGTGCTCTGATTTGGCACGAATGCAGAAGAATATGTCCCTCCCCGCAATCAGAAGAGACACAATGTGAGAATTCATAGCATACCGTAGAAGAGCAGGCTGATCTATGATACCCGCAAAGCAAAGCTTTCTTTGCATCTTCTAGGTGAATGGACAGTGTGTGTGCCAGCACAACACTGCTGGAACAAACTGCGAACAGTGTGCGGCTTTCTACAATGACCATCCATGGAGAGCCGCTGAAGATGGCAACCCCAACGAATGTCACAGTATGTATGCCTCTATCCAACTTCCTAGGGAAACAGGCCACACTTTAACTGAGCAAAGCTGTCTTGGAAAGATAACTGGAGTTTATAAAATACAGTGGAACCTTGGTTTTTAAACGTAATCCGTTCCGGAAGTCCGTTTGACTTCTGAAACATCTGAAAAGTGAGGATCAAAGGGCTGTCAGCAAGTTCAACGGGGAAAATTGAGAAACACTCCTCGGTAGCCGTTTAACTTCTGAGGCGCGTTTGAAAACAGAAGCATTCACTTCCGGGTTTTCGATGTTCGGCTTCTGAAATGTTTGGCAGCTGAGACGTTCGAAAACTGAGGTTTGACTGTACATATTTTGTTCATTGTAGCCACTGGAAATATTGTGGTTTCTCCAATGCTTTTTTTTTTATCTGGGGGCGGGGGATGCAGGGGTAGACATACCCCTAAACATTTTGCGAATCTTTGTACTTTTGTCCATTAACTGTATTTAGTTTTCCCGATTTGAACTGTAAAATGGTGATTTTCTTGAGTCAAAATGAGAAAAAAAAAGTACTGGGTTTCTCATCAGTTATGGGATCTGCAGATTCCTAAAAGGGTGGAGGTGATCAGGGAAAGGGGAATCTGAGGTAAGAAGTACAGGAAGGAGTGTTTAAAAGAATCTACTAGCAAACATTTTTAAAAAGGCTGAGGCAGATGAGAGGAGAGCTGTGATTTCCATTTGCAAAGAAGCTAACTGTTTCTTGTCAAACTTCCTCCATCAGTTTGGAGAAAACAGGCAAGTTTGGGGAAATTGCAGTGTGTGTATAGAACAGTGCTGGTGAATTGATGTTCCCTAAAGTCCTAAACCTTGCACTCTGGCTGTTTTGCATGTTCTGTGTGGACCCACAATCTGATAAACCTTATGGATTTATACACTTGCTGTAGAACTAACTGAAGAGGGAGGCCCAAGCGCCACCCAGTGGTGAAGTTGTTTTCCTTGAACTTCGTTTCAGAAATGGCTTTGTCTCTTTTCTCCTAGGGTGCAACTGTAACGGTCATTCTAACAAATGTCATTTTGACCCAGCCGTGTACCAAGCCAGTGGGGGTGTGAGTGGGGGCGTTTGTGAAGACTGCCAGCACAACACGGCAGGGAGGAACTGTGAACATTGCAAGACCAAGTTTTTCCGTAATAAGCGTTTTGAACTTGATCACCCAGAAGCTTGTCTCCGTAAGTGGGTGCTTAAGCATTTTCTTCATGAGTTTTTGCATAATCTTTTTAAAAAGATAATATCTGAATATGTAGTCTGCCTTATTCCAATGGTAGAGAGAATTCCCCTGTAAGATTGGTGCTCAAAAGAAACATTTTCTGTATTTTAAGTTGAATCTGAAGTGTAGCTACGCCTCCAGATTCTTCACGTCCTTCCTTGTGTCCCATCTTTGGAACTCAAAATTCTTTTTCTGAGTCTCTATTTTGGTAACTGGAGGAGATGATGAGGCTTTCCTCTTACTCCCCCCTGAACTAGAATCCTCAAGTTCCAAGTGCATTTTCCTATGCATTTAAAAGGGAGGAGCAGTAAAGCTGCCTTGCAGCTGACCAGAGAAAAATGAACGGGCTTGTTTTCCGAAATCTTTTGTGCCAATTTCAAGTGAGAGAGAGAGGAATCCTGAATGGGCAACCCTGTCTGCAAATGAAGAGTGGGAGAAAGAAATGATGAGGAACAAGGCAGTGCTAAACCCCTACACAAAGCTCAGGTTTGATGACACCTTTTTGCTTTGGCCTGTACCTTTAAAATTTGTTGATTCCATGTCTTCTCTTTTTAGCTTGTGAATGTGACCCAGATGGCACTGTTCCTAACTCCAGTTGTGACCCCCAGACGGGCCGCTGTGTCTGTAAGGACAACGTGCAAGGAGGCCGTTGTCATTTGTGCAAGCCTGGATTCACCCAGTTAACCAACTCTAACCCCCAAGGTTGCAGAGGTTAGTCACATTTCAACCATGCCAAGCTAGATGTGGGCATGGTGAAGATAGCCACCTCCTGCTGTTTATTAACAATCAAACGTTTATTTCTTTGGGAGAGCCCTTTATACACTGTGATAGAGATAGATAAATATGTAGATTAAAGCTATCTAAACTAGTAGCGATCACTACATCCCATTACAATTCATTCCATACATGAAAACTGTACAGAGGGTGAAGAAATTCTTCCCTTGTGTGTGTTTGGAACCTATAGCCATTCTCATGTTTTGAGAGACAAGCATTTCTTTCTCCACTGTTCATAATTTTATAAAGCTCTCACATGACCCCTATTTAGTTACCTCAAAGGCCCCAAATCAGTCAAACACGTGTCTTCATGGGGGATCCACCCTCTTTGGTAATCCTTTCTCTGTAACTCAAGAGACCATAATATTGGTGAAGCTCTGCTTGTGCTGTTGCACTAGTATGAATGCAGCACATAAGCTGTGGGAAGATCAATTCAATGTGAGCAAAACCTGGACCATTTTCACACAGCCACCACCAGCAAGCCAGCAGTCAATCACACTGGGCAAGTTGAGTTAACTCTTTATTAGCAAAAAAACAGGATCTGCACAGGGCTGTCAGGTCTAATGAGCATAGAAACTCATCTCTGGTAGGTCTTGCCACCTTGAAGCAGTTGCTGAAACTGCTGCCCAAGTCCCCTCCTTTCTGGGGTTTTCCCTAAGCAATCTGAGACTGCACCTGTGTGAAGCTATCTCCTGGTTCTGGGAGACCAGGGGTGGGGGGTGGGGTGGAGCTTGTTGCAGCAGCAGGGGGAGACACTCATGCCTCTTCACCAGCTGGAGTTGTCTCTCTCTCTTGGCCTCCCTGCTTTCCTGCTTTAGAGCCAGTGTGGTGTAGTGGTTAAGAGCGGTGGACTCGTAATCTGGGGAACCGGGTTCGCGTCCCCGCTCCTTCACATGCAGCTGCTGGGTGACCTTGGGCCAGTCACACTTCTTTGAAGTCTCTCAGCCCCACTCACCTCACAGAGTGTTTGTTGTGGGGGAGGAAGGGAAAGTAGAATGTTAGCCGCTTTGAGACTCCTTAGGGTAGTGATAAAGCGGGATATCAAATCCAAACTCCTCCTCCTCTTCCTCCTCCTCCTCCTCCTCCCCTGATAAAGAACTTCTCTCTGCCACAGACTCTTCCTGCTCACTAAACCCTGCTACCTCTTCACCTTCCAACACCTCCTCCTCCCAGTCTTCTCCCTCTTCTCCCTCTAACCACTCATTGTTGTCCCACCACTAGTCCCCTGGCTCTAAGCCGCCTTCCCCTGGGGGTTCCCCAGCTGATTTCTCCCATCATTTCTCTGCATTCAACCAGTCCACAACAGCATACTATGTAAGGGCAATCTAGCCTTAAAAAAAAATGTTTTTTTAAACAGAGCAGGTTGAAACATTCAAAACATAGCCCTAGGAAGATGGAAGAGGGAAAGAGTTTTTCTTTCAATTTCACACAGATCTGAAGATCTTAACGCTTATCCTCCAGGCAGGTCCCTTGCGGCATATGGTTTCAACTGAGGCTTGGCTTACATAACCAATCTCACGTCTCTAGATCCACCTTCATTTATCCGTCGCAATCTCTGGGGCAGACCTTGCCTTGCTTTAGATTAAAATGAAATGTAGCCTCTGCAAGTGGCTATACTGATGGGTTTCAGCTGCCTCCCAGCAGGTGGCAGTAGCTGCTTTGCTAAGCTTGATCTTGGAGAACAGCCGCAGAACATGACAGCAATAGCTGGACAGAATCACCTTGGGGAAGGACCGTAGCCTAGTGGCACAGCAAATGCCTTCCATGCAGAAGGTTCCAGGTTCAGTCCCTGGCATCTCCAGCTGGGAATGTTCTCTTCATGGAACCTTGGAGAGCTACTGCCAGTCAGTGTGTGAGGTGGACTAGTTTGCTGGCTCAATAGAAGGCAGTTTTGTACGTTCCTGCCATTATTCATTAGAAGCCTGACCTCCTGTGGTCAGCTGAGGGGGGGAAGGGTCTGTGCTGAGGAAACAAATCTAAATTCATGGAACAATATCTGCTTGGATATGACTAGTATCTGGAGTGGTAATGGGCACTGTCTGTCACAGCCTCAGTTCAAAACTGTAATTGATTAGTGATGTTGCTAAAGAGTGCATCTCCTTAATTTGAAATGCAGACCTTGGTGTCTCATGATGCTCAGCTCCAGTCTGAGATGCATGCTTTGATAATTGCAATGTCTGTGGTGACATCAAGCATGAAGAGCAACCAGCCTTCATTCTTAATTTGAAGCTGAACAGATTTAGTAAATTTCTATACCACCCTTCATCTAAGGCTCACAGGGGGGTTTACAATATAATAGCACAAAAATGGATAACAAATGAAAACAATACCCCATCCGTCACACAGTTTTAAAAGCCATAGATTGTTTAATTAGCCAAAGGCCTGGGAGAAGAGGAATGTTTTCCCCTGGTGCCTAAAGATGTGTAATGACGGCACCAGGTGAGCCTCCCTGGGGAGAGCGTTCCTCAAGTGGGGAGCCAGCACCCGCCCACTGCCGCTTCTGCAGATGTAAAGGAGAAGTAGAGCTGTGTGTTGTCAGCATATTGCTGACAATGTACTCCAAAGCTCTGGGTGACCCCACCCAGCAGTTTCATGTAGATGTTAAACAGCATGGGGGATAAAATTGAACCATGAGGAACATTGAAGGCTTCATAGTGTTGAAGAGCACTCTGGAAATGTCCATCCAAGTAGGACTGGAACCACCGCAAGTGGTGCTGCCCTCAACTCAGACATCTGCCCCAGATACAGTGGCCAATGCTATTGAAAGCCCACGAGACATCAAGGACACATTGATGAGAGGTTGAGGACATGAGGATACATTTCCCCTGTCTCTCCCCCAACAGAGGTGGTCACGAAGGGTGGCCAAAGCAGTTTCTGTGCTAAAACCAGCCCTAAACATTGACTGAAATGGTCTAGAAAATCAGTTTCCTCCAACAGCACCAGGATCTGGTCTGCAGCCAGATGGGTGGGGATCACCGACACTTCCAGGGAGATCCTTTCCTTCTTCCAGATCAATGTGTTGCAGGAAGTCTATAGCAGAGCTGGGGACTGGAGGCGAATCTGCCCCCAACACCCCTCCCTATCTGGCCCTCTGGACGTTCCCCTTGCTTGGCTGGATGGAAGACAGAGAGGGGTATATAGAAAATAGCCTACTGCAGAAAGGTCACATTTACATTCATTGGCCCACCTTCTTTTGCCCCTGGCTCCACCTGCCATTGGCATGACTTTCAAAACCTGGAGCCAGCGCTGAAGGGAAAGAATTTTAGAACAAGACTTTGCTACTGGCGGACTGAAGGGTTTCATCAGCTTTGATTTTATCTATTTAATTCTATATCACCCTGTACCCACAGGTTCACAGGAGACCTGATACCTCCTGCGCACACCCCTGTAGCATCCCCCAGTAGTTCCGACACAAATGCTGGCTCCTTTGTTTTCCAGATTGCGCCTGCAGTGTTTTAGGCAGCCGCCGCAACGTGCCATGCGACGACGAGACGGGCCGCTGTTCTTGCCTCCCCAATGTGGTGGGAGACAAGTGTGATGAATGCGCCGCCAATCACTGGAAAATTGCAAGTGGGCAGGGCTGCCAGGCTTGCAACTGTGACCCTCAGCATTCACGCAGCCCTCAGTGTAACCAGGTACTGCCCACGAAGCAGCAGTGCAGCAGCTTACAGCTCTAGAAGTGGGCGGGAAGAGGGAAATTCTGAGCCATTGCACTTTGTAGCACCGCGATCAGGGCATTGTCTTCTTAGTCCTGCAGAGAGAGGGGGAAGCTGTTTTGCTCAGTATCTAGGCTACCGTTGAGAGTACTTAGTACATTCGGTGGTATTGGGTGGTAATGCTTTCTGCAGATTTTACTAACTAAAGCTGTATATCTGGGCATGGGGGTTGCTGTTGCCTGTTTGAATTAGGGATGGAGGAAAAATTCATTTTAAAGCAAAGTGGCCTCATTTGCTGGTCCCTGATGGCTATGTGGATTAAAATGCAGCTGTCCATCAGATCAGACATTTCTCTGGATTTTGCGAGGCAGTTTTTAAAAATGCACACGAAATTTATGTTTTATGGAAAAATGCACACAACAATGCATATTTGTGGGGGAGCATTAAAAAGCATACAGGACTGTGGCTGGTAACCAATTGACTTTTACTCAGAGTAGATCCACTGAGATGTATAAGCCTGAGTTGGTCATGTCCATCAATTTCAATGGGCCTCCTCTGAGTAGGAATAGCATTGGTTGCAATCCCATGTATTTAAGGGGAAGGATGAGTACAACATGTGTACCATTTAAATGTAATTTTTCTTTTGCATCAAAAAAACCCCAACACTGTAAAACTTAGAATGTAACAGACCTAAAACTGAACATAATGCTCAAATACATGTGAAACTGACCTGTAATGGTAATAGACTGATTTTTCCATTCCTACCATGAATGCTTTCTCATGAAAAACAAGCAGCTGAGGCCGAAGTTGGAGCCTTTCTTTGTAAACCCCTTCTGGAACTCAATTATTCTCCAGACCAACAGGCCTAACTCTGCAGTTCTATGTCAAAGTGATTTCCTCCCTGGCATCCTTCTCTCTTGTTCTGCAGTTTACAGGGCAGTGTCCATGCAGAGAAGGCTATGGGGGCCTGACATGCTCTGCTCCTGAAGTACGGGTTTGTCCGGACCAGTCTTATGGAGATGTCAGGACAGGATGTAGAGGTAAGGAATGCAGGTTGCACCCACTTGTAAACCACTGGGTATTTAAATGGTTCTTGCCACCTTGCTGTTCCATCTAACTGAGGTCTGGAGGAGCCTGTGGCCCTCCCAATGTGGTTGTAGTTCATCTCCCACCTTCTCTAACAGCTGGCTGTTGGGGAGAAGAGTGAGCAGCCAGAGGGATGCACTGTGGAAATGTCAGCCTGTAACCAGCAAGTAAAGCCTGTGACTATTTTTGAGGGATCCAGACCCTTCTTGTTCTCTTTCAACAGCTTGCAACTGCAACTTCCAGGGCACAGAGGAAATGGGCTGTGACAAGCTGACAGGCAGATGTCTTTGCCGTCCCGGCTTTACTGGAGACCGCTGTGACCAGTGCCAGCGGGGCTACTGTGGCAACTATGACCACTGTGAGGCATGCAACCCTTGCTTCCAGGCCTATGATGATGAGCTCCATAGGTTTGGCTTGCGCCAGGCCACCTTGAAAAATTCCACCCAGCGGCTTCCGGTGGGGACAATGAGCTCCGGCTTCAGCACCCGCCTCTTAGAAGCAGAAGGCGAAGTGCAGCTCATCCAAGGGATCCTGGGAAACCCCCTCTTGACGGAGCAAGGGCTGGATCAGGTGGCCAATGCCATTGCTACGATCAGGTGAACAGGAATTGCATTCTACTTACTGGCAGCAAGCAAGCATTGTCCAAAGCATGCAGATAACAATCTCTGATGCTTTGCTTTTAAGCAGTCTCTCTTCTACTTAATGGGTAGAGCATGAGATGCTTAATCTCAGGGTTGCAGTTTCAAGCCCCACCTTGGGCTAAAGATTTCATTGCCGGGGACCTAGAGAGGGGCCCTAGTTCCTTGCCAATCCTTCCTTGGGTGCCTCCAGACTGCCACTGTTTTGTGAGAGGGATTCAAGGGCATATTGTAAATGGAGGTTTGTGAAGTTGGATTAAAGTGCTCTGCTGCTCTAGCGAGACAAATCCAACTCGAAAAAGAGTGGCTAGGAAAACGACAAGGAAATGTACTTAAAAATGTGGGTAAGACATATGAATGCCAGGCAACCAATCAGGATGAAGGCTCATTGTTACATTAAAAGGTAAAGGTACCCCTGCCAGTCTTGACAGACTCTAGGGTTGTGCGCCCATCTCACTTAAGAGGCCGAGGGCCAGCGCTGTCCGGAGACACTTCCGGGTCACGTGGCCAGTGTGACAAAGCTGCATCTGGCAAGCCAGCGCAGCACACGGAAACGCCGTTTACCTTCCCACCAGTAAGCGGCCCCTATTTATCTACTTGCACCCGAGGGTGCTTTCGAACTGCTAGGTTGGCAGGCGCTGGGATCGAGCAACGGGAGCGGACCCCACCGCGGGGATTCGAACCGCCGACATTTCGATCGGCAAGCCCTAGGCGCTGAGGCTTTTACCCACAGCGCCACCCGCGTCCCGCATTGTTACATTACTGCCCTGCAAACAAGATAGGAATGAATACTCAAGAAAGACCTCACATAGTCTAACCTCTGTGTAAACTTTGTGCAAACAAAGTGGAATGAATGTTCAATAAGCAGATCATCTGCAGGAGCCCCTTGATTCACTGGCAGTCTATGAAGAAGTCAGTCTTTTAGTCTCTCATAGGGGCACAGAATACTAATGACATGCTTTCATTTGTTTCACAGTATAAAATCTGTGAAACACTGTGCACATTCAAGGTGGTATCCAGCTGCCCATTCAGTGATTATATGTTTGAATCAATTGTTTTAATTACTTCATCCACTTCAGTCCTTGTCTGTTAATTATTATAAACTGCCCTGTGATCCTCAGATGGAGGGTTGTATAGAAAATTAGCAAACAAATAATAGTATTAAATTAAAATTCTGTTCTGTCCCTTCCGTTACATTTGTTGTCCTACATTTGATACCAGTGGGTACTCGGCTGCTGATATATGAGTCAGAATCTTCAAGCTTTATTTCAAAGAAGTGCCACTGATTTCATGGGCGTATGTTGGCATGAAGGTTTTAAGGGCAGTAATCGCTGGATGAAAGAAAGAGAATAATTACAAGATGTAGGCGGAAACCAAAACCAACTATCCTGTTTTGTTTTGTTTTGTTTTGTTAATTCCAGGCAGACCATTGGAGGTTTAAGACATGAAACACCAATCAGGGATGAAGCATCCTCTTTATCCATAGATATGGATAATCTTGATAGAAGCCTGATTCTGATCATCACTGAGTACCAAAACAAGAAGGCTCAGTTTGAAGCCAGCCGAAGCACAGATGTCTCAGGTATAATACCTGTGTTTCGACCACTACATTCCTCAGTTCATACATAAGCTTTAGGGCAGCAGCTGAAGAAGGAACAAAAAGGGTTTTCCTGTGTGAGTTTCTTGTGGCTGTTTAGCTGCTCTCTCTGGGCAAAGGTCAGTTTGATCCATATTTTAGATTTAGGGGAGCTAGTCTCAAACATTTGTTGGGGGAGACCTAGGTTTTTTTGGGAGGGATTTATTTGTCCTGTCTCCACACTTTTTATGATAGAGGACCACTGTAGTCACCCCCAACGACACGTTCCCAAGATGGAGGGTGAGGGAACAGCTGCAGTCGCCTGTGGTTCCTGCGCAATGTTTGCCATCTTGCCAAAGGTTGCAGGCAGCTTTACCTGCAGCAATTGCATGTTGATTGCCCTCTTAAAAGACAAAGTCCAGCAACTGGAGGAACGTGTAGCTACGCTCCAAAGAATTAGAGAGCTGGAACTCTTCTTGGAAGCAACAGAGCACACCGTCTCCACCAAGGAAGAGACAGGGGACTCCCCTGAGAAGGTGGCTAGTTCACCAACACAGGAGCCAGATATATGGAGAAACATGACTCAAAGAAGTAGGAGGCCCAGGGTTCGCTCTGATTGTTTAGAAATACGCAATCGCTTTGAGGTCCTTTCCCCTAGCATGGAAGACGAAGAGCAGACTCCATTTGAGGATCTCTCCCTCATTACAGTCGATCAGGTATATGAAGACGAGGAGCAAAGGCAGTCCTCTGGGAATGTCCAGGCGACCTTGGAACCGACAGCTCACAGAAGAACCCCGACCAGACCTAAGAGGAGGCGTGTAGTGGTGATAGGGGATTCCCTACTGAGGGGAACAGAAGCAGTGATCTGTGGGCCTGACAAGATGTCTCGGGAAGTGTGCTGTCTCCCCGGGGCTAAGATCCAAGATGTAACTGAACGACTGCAAGGAATCATAAAACCCACTGACAAATACCCCTTCCTCTTGGTTCATGTGGGAACCAATGACACTGCAAGCAATAGCCTCCAGAAGATCAAAAGAGATTACGAGGCTCTGGGCAGGAAATTGAAGCAATTAAATGCACAAATTGTCATCTCATCTGTCCTCCCAGTTGAACGACGTGGCCCAGGGAGAGAGGGAAAAATAGTGGAAGTGAACAACTGGCTTCGCAAATGGTGCAAACAGGAACGGTTTGGATTCTTAGATCACGGAATGCAGTTTCTTGAAGATGGACTTCTGGCAAGCGATGGGCTGCACCTCACAACGGTTGGGAGGAATGTTTTTGCAAAAAATCTCAGAAACCTCATCAGGAGGGCTTTAAACTGACTAATGTGGGGGAGGGAGACAGTGCTCCTGAAGGTAGGAGTCTATCAATTGATGAAGATGATCATCCAAATGTCATAGACCGAATGGAGCAAAGAGCATGCAGACCTAGTGGTGGGAGGAGAAAATCCTTAAATAAGAGACACGGGGGAATGATTAATGGACTTCAATGTCTGTACACTAATGCACAAAGCATGGGAAATAAACAAGATGAGCTTGAGCTCCTGGTACAGCAAACTAAATATGACATAATAGGAATCACTGAAACCTGGTGGGATAAATCCCACGATTGGAATGTAATAATGGAGGGATACAATCTATTTCAAAGAAACAGACCAGACAAGAAAGGAGGAGGAGTGGCGTTATATGTCAGGGATGTGTATACCTGTGAAGAGATCCAAGATTTAGAACCTCAAAGCCAAAGTGAGAGCATTTGGGTCAAAATTAAGGGAGAGAAGAATAACAGTGACCTCATTGTGGGAGTTTACTATAGATCCCCAAGCCAAACGGAGGACATAGATGATGCCTTCCTGGAACAGATGGCCAAGCATGCAAAAGGAAGGGAGATAGTAGTAATGGGGGACTTCAATTACCCGGATATTTGTTGGATGTCAAACTCAGCCAAGAGCATAAGGTCAAACAGATTCCTCACTGCCCTTGCAGACAACTTCATTGTCCAGAAAGTGGGAGAAGCAACAAGAGGAACAGCCATTTTAGATCTGGTCCTAACCAATGTTGATGACCTGGTTAGTGGGGTAGAAGTGGAAGGATCATTAGGCGCGAGTGATCATGCTCTTCTGAAGTTTACTATACAGCGGAAAGGAGCAGCCAAGCATACTAGGACTCAATTTCTCGACTTTAAGAAAGCCGACTTCATAAAGCTTAGGGAAGTGCTGGGTGAGATCCCATGGACAGTAATACTAAAAGGAAAGGGAGTTCAAGATGGCTGGGAGTTTGTTAAGAGGGAGATAGTAAAAGCACAACTTCAGGCAATACCAATGAGACGGAAACATGGAAGGTGCCTAAAGAAGCCAGGGTGGCTATCTAAAGAACTTTTAACTGAGTTAAGATTAAAAAAGGATGTGTACAAAAAATGGAAAAGGGGGGAAACCACCAAAGAGGAATTCAAACAAATAGCCAGCACGTGTAGACACAAAGTCAGAAAAGCTAAAGCACAAAATGAACTCAGGCTTGCTAGAGAGGTTAAAAGCAACAAAAAAAGGCTTTTATGGGTATGTTCGTAGCAAAAGGAAGAACAAAGAAACCGTGGGGTCACTCAGAGGAGAAGATGGTGAAATGCAAACAGGGGACACAGAAAGGGCTGAACTCCTCAATGCCTTCTTTGCCTCAGTCTTCTCCGATAAAGAAAACAATGCCCGACCTGAAGAATTTGGAGCAAATGATTCAGCAGAGGAAACACAGCCCAGAATAACTAAGGAGATAGTACAAGAATACTTGGCTAGTCTAGATGTATTCAAGTCTCCAGGGCCAGATGAACTGCATCCAAGAGTATTAAAAGAACTGGCAGATGTGATTTCAGAACCACTGGCAGTCATCTTTGAGAATTCCTGGAGAACAGGCGAAGTCCCGGCAGACTGGAGGAGGGCAAATGTTGTCCCTATTTTCAAAAAGGGGAAAAGAGAGGACCCAAATAATTACCGCCCAGTCAGTCTGACATCAATACCAGGGAAGATTCTGGAGCAGATCATTAAGCAAACAGTCTGTGAGCACCTAGAAAGGAATGCTGTGATCACCAATAGTCAGCATGGATTTCTGAAAAATAAGTCATGTCAGACTAACCTGATCTCGTTTTTTGACAGAATTACAAGCCTGGTAGATGAAGGGAACGCAGTGGATGTAGTCTACCTTGATTTCAGCAAGGCATTTGACAAGGTGCCCCATGATATTCTTGTAAAGAAGCTGGTAAAATGCGGTCTTGACTATGCTACCACTCAGTGGATTTGTAACTGGCTGACTGACCGAACCCAAAGGGTGCTCATCAATGGTTCCTCTTCATCCTGGAGAAGAGTGACTAGTGGGGTGCCACAGGGTTCTGTCTTGGGCCCGGTCTTATTCAACATCTTTATCAACGACTTGGATGATGGACTCAAGGGCATCCTGATCAAATTTGCAGATGACACCAAACTGGGAGGGGTGGCTAACACCCCAGAGGACAGGATCACACTTCAAAACGACCTTGACAGATTAGAGAACTGGGCCAAAACAAACAAGATGAATTTTAACAGGGAGAAATGTAAAGTATTGCACTTGGGCAAAAAAAATGAGAGGCACAAATACAAGATGGGTGACACCTGGCTTGAGAGCAGTACATGTGAAAAGGATCTAGGAGTCTTGGTTGACCACAAACTTGACATGAGCCAACAGTGTGACGCGGCAGCTAAAAAAGCCAATGCAATTCTGGGCCTCATCAATAGGAGTATAGCATCTAGATCAAGGGAAGTAATAGTGCCACTGTATTCTGCTCTGGTCAGACCTCACCTGGAGTACTGTGTCCAGTTCTGGGCACCACAGTTCAAGAAGGACACTGACAAACTGGAACGTGTCCAGAGGAGGGCAACCAAAATGGTCAAAGGCCTGGAAACGATGCCTTATGAGGAACGGCTAAGGGAGCTGGGCATGTTTAGCCTGGAGAAGAGGAGGTTAAGGGGTGATATGATAGCCATGTTCAAATATATAAAAGGATGTCACATAGAGGAGGGAGAAAGGTTGTTTTCTGCTGCTCCAGACAAGCGTACACGGAGCAATGGATCCAAACTACAAGAAAGAAGATTCCACCTAAACATTAGGAAGAACTTCCTGACAGTAAGAGCTGTTCGACAGTGGAATTTGCTGCCCAGGAGTGTGGTGGAGTCTCCTTCTTTGGAGGTCTTTAAGCAGAGGCTTGACAACCATATGTCAGGAGTGCTCTGATGGTGTTTCCTGCTTGGCAGGGGGTTGGACTCGATGGCCCTTGTGGTCTCTTCCAACTCTATGATTCTATGATTCTATGATTCTATGATTCTAAGCGGCTGTATCTCCTACTGTAAATATGGACAATTATCTGATTAATGGGCGGCTTTGCCATATTGTGGATTTTGTGTCCTGCCTGAAAGAAACTGGAGAAGAGAGATCTTCAACTTAAGTCAGACTTTCGCAATCTTTCTCACTTCTCACTTTTCCTCTTCCAACCCTCCCCCCTTTGCATGTAAGAGTGGATCCAAGCACAGGAGCTTATATCAGAGACGAACATTGCACTCTCACAAAAGCACATTTCCTAGTGACCCTCAGAGGAAGCTTTGGTCATTTGCACACAGCGCTTTTGTTTTCAGCTGCTTAAAAATGGCAACCTACTGTGGATGGAATATATTTCTTCTTCTTCCCCCCTGTGTTAAAGGTGTTATGAAACCGGCCCCACCGCTCAGGGTGTGTAGCCTCATCCCACTAGCATATCTAGTAAACAGATTTTGCAGTGCTTCAAAGTAACTTAATAACTCTACATCAAAAAGAATGACTTTCAATTGACCCAGGACTCCAGTCTCAGGCAGATCTGCAAGGCGTTTCTAATTATTCTTCTCACTCACATCACACAGCCTATAGTTCTTCCCAGCAAAGTGCTGCTCTGAGGCTTTCCAGACACACCCCAGTGGTATTAGTAGGCCATTTCAAGAAATGTATGTTTTGTTTCTGTTCCTGCTTGGTGATCTAATTAGAAGTGTGCAGAACATCCTCCCCTCCAGGGAATTATCACCAGTCTGATTGAAACTTTTTTTTGCTTCCCTTGAAAATCAACTGGATGTTTCCCTTGATTAGGAAGCTCCAAATTAGCTTCCGGATTTTGCTGTAGGTGAAGTGTGATGTCAACTCTGGATGTACAGTGGTACCTCGGGTTAAGTACTTAATTCGTTCTGGAGGTCCGTTCTTAACCTGAAACTGTTCTTAACCTGAAGCATCACTTTAGCTAATGGGGCCTCCTGCTGCTGCCGCGCCGCCGGAACATGATTTCTGTTCTCATCCTGAAGCAAAGTTCTTAACCTGAAGCACTATTTCTGGGTTCGTGGAGTCTGTAACCTGAAGCATATGTAATCTGAAGCGTATATAACCCAAGGTACCACTGTAATATATTTACTCTGGAAGGCTAAGGAGGATGCAGCACTGATCCTCCAGCACTTTCTCAAACCTACATGTTCACTTACTGCAGTAGCTTCAGTTTTGCCTCCTTTTCTGAACCTTTTCTGAACCCTGATGGAAGGAAGGAGGTGTGTCGGACCACATACCTCAGCTTGCTGAGTTCTGATGTGAATCTTGGAGCTGCAGGTGGCAGAGGCACATCTCTACTATACCATGTACAGTACAGCTTAGCTTTGTATAATACATTTTCAAAACAAAACACCAATGCAAGAGAAAAACAGCCATTAAGCAGTTTCATGTGAATGGCGATTGGCAAGTGCTTTTCAGCTGGCGTCCTTGTGATTCACTGCTCTGGCAGATCCTCCTTCCTCCTTTTTTCAAGGTAGAACTCCATACCAGGAGGCCTTGGAAAGGAAAGCTGCATTGTGAGTCACTAAGCCATCTAAACATCATTTTTTCCTTTGTTTCCCTAGGAGCATTCAAGACACTCAGCTCTGCGCATCAGACATCTTCCAATACCAGCTTGCGCATAGCTGGCTCTTCCAGGCTGCTGGCCCAGTCTGTGGAAAACAGGCAGAGTGCTGAGGAGCTAGAGAGTGATCTTGCAAGCCATGGGTCGGGACTGGAGGCTCTGCAGGCTGAAATGGCCTTCTCTCCAAACTTGACTCCTGCCATTAATAAGGTGAAGCCAGCAGTTAACCTCTGTCAAAGGTGCTACTGCATAGCATCATTGCTCAATTTGCCTCATAAATTGTTACCCAGTGAACACTGCTTCCTATTGTTCTGACTGCAGCCCAATAATGGCTGCAGACTAATGAGGCGGAAGGTTGTTTGGGGCCAAAGTCTGTTATTGTTATTGGGTTTTTTTATTCCTCTTTTCTGCAGTTCTACTATTGCCATGGAGACTGATGCCAGCATCTCCAGTTTAAATGAAAAATCACCCATCTAATCTTGCTGCATTTCAGCGCAAGTGCTCTCAAATGAAATTTATGGGTGTGGAGGAGTTGGGGATATCAGGAATCTCAACTGCCTCTGGATCTATTTCTCTCCTGTGAACCCTACAGTTGTTCCTATTTGGGGTGGGGAGAGGATGTCTGCTTTCCTCCTGGAGTAAGGGTGAAGGACCTCCAACCCAAATACCCAAGGCAGCACCCATTGACTCTCTGTCCCTTGAGACACTTTCCAGGCCATGTTCCTTCACCAGCCAAGAACTGCGCCCCTTGAGTGCTTTGGCCTGGCCTGCCTTTTGCTTGCCAGGATGGAGGAATATGTAGATATAGTGTGTGTGTGTAGAAATCTCTGGATTTTGTGTGACTGGAATGTAGTAAGAAAAGGTAGGGCTTACAACAGTTGCCCTGTCCATTTGTGGCTCCGTGGGGCTGCAAATGGTTTCTTTTAGCTTGCTGCTGTGGCAGTGCTTTTAATCCCTTTCTGGGAAATTTTACTTAATATTTATGAGAATCCAAAGCATTATTTGTGTATGAAGTATTAAAGCAGAACAGCAATGTTCAGCTCTCTCTTTGGGGCTGCCCTTGAGGTTGACCTGGAAACTGCAGCTAGTGTAAGATGTGGAGGCTGCTCTGGTCACCTTTTGCTATCATGTTACCCCGCTGCTGGAAGAATTGCACTGGCTGTCAATGACCTGCAGGAAATTGGATGGAATGGACTTAAGAATGAGCAGGTGCAAAATGGACACAGACTGGAAAAAAGTGACCCGCCCTCCTCCCTTCATGTATCATTGTGACTCCTTTTCCCCTTCCCCATCCCACCCCCACTGACTCCCAAGCAGTCCTTTGAGCTATCTGTGTGCCCCTCCCAGTGGGAAATGTCTTCTGGGTCATCTCCAACCAGCAGTGAGCTCTCTACATGTCAAGGCCTTGGCCATCCCATAGAACCTTCTTCTTTGATTGCCTTTTATGTTGTCTCCATTTGGGCATCTAAAGCTGGGTGCTGTGCATCAGTGGATGTGCTGTACCATAAGTGCATGAAGATAGTAACTCCCTGAATCATTTTTGGGTTTTGTATTATTGATGGCATAACTTAACTGATTGTATGGCTTCTATGTTTAGATTTGCAGTGGCATCAGGTCAGAGATTTGCAGCCCTGGTGAATGTCCTGGAGAAGTATGTCCACAGCAAAACACAACTGGATGTGGCCCTGGTCGGAGCTGTACTGGAGTGTTCTCACTTTCTGGAAGTTCCATCCAAACTGCCACAAAAACCTCCCAAGATATCCACAACTTAAATATCCGACTTCAGGAGACTACACAGATGGTGTGTGTGTGTGTGTGTGTGTGTGTGTGTGTGTGTGTGTAGAAAGGAAAAGGAGAGCTCCTACCGTTGCTTTCTTGGGAGACAAAGAGTGAAAGCTCTTTTGCAATTGCCAAGGAAAATGCATGACTTGTGCTGTGTGGCTTTTTGTGAACATGTGAACATGTTTGTCACGACACCCAACATCAAACAGCATTCCTTCAATTTTAAACTCTGCCCAGGTAACTTTTCAGTTTGGGAGATCCACCTGGCGGATATTGCTTTGTGAGGGTGCCCTGTCTGACAGGGACACTGCACAAGGCAGGGTGTCTTCCAGAAGTTGTTGGACTCAGACTTTCATCAGCCCTAGCCAGCCTCGTTAACATTCAGGGATAATTGGAGTTGTCACTGATAAGCACCTGGAAGGCACCAGGTTGGCTGTCTCTGCACCAGCACAACAGCTGAAAGTGAAACATCCAAGAAGCATCTTGGGTGTGTCCTCTTCCTGAACAAAAATATGGCGTGTGGAGCAAATGAGAACCTGCTTGTGAATGTGCATAATGCATGTTGTTGTGATACCATAGTGGGATTGTGCAGAAACAAATATCTGTGTTCTGAGTGCCTGTTGGTTGTTGCAGAGAAGGCAATGGCACCATTCATTTTCTTCCTCAATGTCTACATTTTTCACTATAAAAACACATTTTTTTGTTTCTGAAATACTAGGAAGCACTGGGTAATTAAGAAACAGGGAGATTGAAAGTATGGATGAATGACACTCTGGAACCAGTTTAGGATCTTAGAAACTGACTCTGCCTTGCATGTTGTTTGACATAGATCAGAGCTGCAGAAATAGCTGTTGGCCAAATTCAGACTAATGCCCAGAGCCTGGGAGACCAAATGACTTCAACTAGGGCCCAGATAGAGGGAGACATCCATCGCACCCAACAGTTCATCTACCAGGTTCGCAACTTCCTGTCAGGTAAGTCTATGCATGAAACTTCTGTCTTTGATTACTTGCCATTACATTATCTTTAAAATGGTCAGCTTTCTCATAAAACACACCTACATGAAGCAAATGATCAAGTGCTATTCATTGGATCAATTCATTGATTAAAAAGTTTCATGCTTACAGGAATATGAATAGTTCTAAAATGTATGCTAAGGCCAGATAGATAGCAGCTAGCTGTTGCTGGGGAAAGGAAAAAACATTAGATAGCAGGCAAGACTTTCTCCAAGCCCTTCAGAGACAAATACAGCAGATGAAAAGCATACAGCAAATTTGCCGCTATTCGAGGATGGCTGTTACAAAACCATTCTTCCTGCTTGTATTTTCCTTGCTCAATATCTTTTGTCGATTGTCTGTGTCTCCTGCCCGCTGGTACGGAAATAGAATCCATTGTGCATCATAGTGGTTACGCACAAAAGCTTTATCCAAATGGTTATGAGCTGGACTACTTCCCAAGTTATGCTTAAAACATGTGGGAGTTTACTTTTGAGTAAAGGGCATGTGGTAGAAAAGTTGTACTGGCAGTGCAGGAGTGCATTTAAGAGAAAGGATATGCCAGCCCAGGATCTAGTTGCAAAAGTTTGATCAATGGGGGGGTGGCGCTTACCTTCAAAGATATCGGTGGCATTCTGACATTACAGTTTCAAACAACTTCGGGCAAAGCAGGAGGGTTTGACTTGATGCGCTTTGAGGTTCCCACCAATTCTAGGATGCAAATGCTGACAGTAATTCAGTGAGGTAACTGTAGACAAAGAAGGGAGCCATGCATATTTTCCTAGGGAAGCTGTTCCAGGGATCTGGGACCATCACAGAGAAGAGTCTATCCCTGGCTCTTGCTTCCCACCCACCCCTGTTCCCCAGCAACACATAGGTGCTACTAACCAATCCCATGATAAGGAAGCTGATTTGGTGCCATGGCTTATTTTTTTGTTTGGAGGTGAACATTTTCACATTTGAGCTCCTGGGTGTATGACAGTATCTGGAATTTGTGCCCTGCTAATTTGTATTGTTTTGCTAGAAGTTCCTCTCCTGTCATCTCTAATTGACTTAGTGGTTCTTCAGTTGCCCACCCCTGAAAAAAATAAATTCAGACATGGGTATCTGCCCAGCATCTTCTTCAGGGGAGACCAATGTGTAAAGAAGAAGAAGAAGATATTAACCACTAGTCCTACTCAGACTAGGCTCACTGAAGTTAATAGGCATGACTAACTTGAGTTCATTAATTTAATTGGGTCTAATCTGATTAGGCCTTAGTTGAATTCCTCAGGCTACAAACCTATGCCAGCTAACTTCAATAGGACTTATTCCTGAGTGGATACATATGGGATTTCACTGTTAGGCTTTAGCCCTTGGGACTCTTACTTTAGAGTAAGCTCTGCTGAATACAGTGGACTATATTTCTGAGTATTTAATCGTCGAATCATCTTCTTGGGTGATTTCTTCCTTATGCATTTTAATACATTTGTTTTTTAATTGCAGGCATTATTTAGCATGAAAATGTGCTCCTCAATCCTTTTTTTTTTAAAGTCATGCATTATCATTAGTTAATATTATTTTGTTAGAAGCCTATATATAACAACTTGCCTATTTGAATAGCGCTCTCTCTCTAAATCCCTATCTCTTGCTTGAGACTTCTCCCTGAGCAGTGCATACTGACAAGCATGAAGGCTGCGATTTGACAAGTATCTAGGGGAGAATACCGAGAGGGTGGGATACTTTGGTTGTGAGAATAAATCATGAAATGTTGAGACATCTCAGATGTGGCAGATGCAGAGAGTGATGGACCAGTTAACTCCTGCTGCTTTGAAAAATGTCTACATGTAGAGAGAATAAGAAGTGCTGCTGACAGCTAGGCTGTCCAGATTCAAAAGGGGAATGTCTACACAACTGGAATGTTAACTAAGAGCTCCTCCAGACAACCTGTTTATTTAGAATTCACCTGGATTTTCTTGTACAAAGCTTATGCAGAGGCTAGACTCTATGCAGTCTTTACTGAGCATTTGTTCTGATTTGCGTGTGAGATGGTTATACAACATTGAGAATTTGTCCTGTGTTTATCCTGATTTGCTTGTGGGGTGTTTTTATATCCTCCTGTTAATCGTTCATTCATCCCACCCTTTTCATTGCATTTCCTTCACTTTCCAAACTGCAAAGAGGCTGATTCTTTTATAAAGTCGATTTGTTGCACTAGGGTGACAGAGTGTGTTAATCCAATTGGATTGTGTGAACTTAAATGTACAGTATGCGCTTGAAACGCTCCCGCAAAATGGTGACAGTTTGATGTCCATGCCTAGTTTCCCCCTTAACTGTTAGCTTCTGACGCTTCCTGAATTTCTTCTTAGCACCCTTATGTTCTCACTTCAATCTGCTTGCTTGTTTTTTTTGAACATTTCTGGCTTTGCTAATATAAGGAACCAGTGGGAACCTACAACACATTTCCCCCCTAGTGTATCACCCACATCCTAACAGGAATGCTCCTTGTCAGTGCTTTGTACAGTCTAGAACAGGAACCCTTTGAGTGTTGGTTGGAGGTGGCAAAGGACCTACTTTTTCTTTCCACCCTCCTCTCACTGTGCTATACAGTTGCAAAGGAGTCAGGATTGATAAAGAGCTTGGAGGAGTATAAAATAGGATGGAGAGGGTCATTTCCTAATGCTGAGCTCAAGGATACTATAAACAGTTTGACACACCCACACAGGCCAATTCTCATTCTCTCCCTCCATTTCCCAGCCCATCAACATCCCATGGCTTAACTGGCCTCAGTTATGCCTTTAATTCCTAGACTCACACAAGCCCTGTTCAGGAGAAAAAGCCTTTGTGTGGTTCTAATAATCACAGGAGAATGGAGCCATGCTCATTAGCCATGCTCCTTGCATTGTGTCCCCACTGCTCTCCAGGTGTCACAACTAGAAGGTCTGACTCTCAGAGTCTGCTTTATGCCTTTGGGCTCCTTGTATGATTTCAAACCCTGATCACACAGAGCTTTAGCCTGTGTCACATGTTGTGGAGGCGACATGTTGTGGAGGCTCCCTTCTCCAGACCCCTTCCTCTTCATATGATGGAGGCACAACACCTGAATAGGGCTGTGGCCTGCCTGAGTTCAGTTTCTTCAGATTGTTTTCTGAAATCCTGGGCGAATCCTGGATTTTACCATAGCCACGATTGGACAACAGTGTTTCCTTCCATCTCCAAGGAAAAAATAACAGTAAGGACAAGAGTTTGGAGTGAACATAGGTGAAGATGAGATGTGTGTGTCTTTGCACCAATATTTGTCCTGTAATTTTATTTGGAAGAGCAGCAGATCTGGCTTTCCCTAGCGACCCAGTGTTTGATTTGCTTCAAGGAAGCTTCTGGTTTGTTGAATAAGATATATACTCTCACTTGGCCTCGACTTGACTTTTCCCCACTCTTATCTTTGCAGATCCAGATACTGATGCTGCTACCATCCAGCAGGTCAGCGATTACGTCCTCTCCCTTCGCCTTCCCGCTGACACTGCCACAGTCCTCAGGAAAATGAATGAGATTCAGAGCCTGGCAGCTAAGCTGCAGTGCCCTGAGACATTCATTTCCCAAACGGCTGGGGATGTTGCTAAGGCCAGACAGCTTCAGCAGCAGGCAGAAGAAGCCAGGTAAAGAGGCCTTTAGTACTGTTGGATCATGTAAGGAGAGTGATGGAACCTGTTTGTAGATATTATTCAGAAGAAAGGTCCTGCCCTATAGCTAGTACAAGATTCTTTGCCTTCTTGAGGCTTCCTGGGGACGTGTGCGCAAAACCTCAAGTTTTTAAACCAATGCAAATAAGACACTACATATGTGATGTGGTTTCATTTAGCACCCACTGAGATCTGTTGGTAGAAGCATGCCAGCCACATCACTGAAGCATCAGCCCACTCTATTGGTTGAATACAGGAACATTACTCTCCTTTCTGGACAGACATTAACCTTGCATCCAATCCACCTACACTAGTGGCCAAAATTGTGGAAACCTGTATTTCCGAGGTTTGGTGGCTCTCATAACACCACTTTCTTTTAGAGTAATACCATAAAATTATATATCGATGGAAAGATAATTTAATGAAGAATGTAATGCAACAAAGTTTGTTCAATTTTCTGTATTCTATCAAAGGTTATATAGCCAAATAACCAAAAAAAGGTGGTGTTATGAGCCACCAGACCTCGAAATTACTTTCCCCAAAAGGTTTCCACAATTTTGGCAACTAGTGTACTTGGGTTTAGTGCTTGCTGTAGCAGCATGGGGAGGTAGCTCCGAGTTTGTATTCTTCACTTAATTGCTGCTGTTGTTACTATGTGCACAATTTTTTGTATTTGCACTGAATTATTTGTATAGGATTCCCCCCCTAAACTTTTCAATTACTTGGGTGGGGTCAGAGGCAGCTGAGTGAGGCACAGTGACTTGCTTCAGTGAAACTTATCCCCAGCCAGATCCAGTGAGTTAAAGGTGGTCAGTCCCCCACTTCCTCATCCTTTTTGATGTCTCTTGGCAGCAGGGAGGCTATGCTGAGAGTATCCCTGCAAGTGTGGAAGGTTAGCATCTTGCAGAAACTTGTCCTTGGAATGGAGATGGGAGCCAAGGATTTCCTGGATGACAGATCATATATTGTAGCTGCTGTACATTACGTTATTATGGGATCTTTTACGCAGGCAACATTTTTCACTAGCACTCACTTCAGTAACCACCTAAGATTCTGAATTAAAGTTTGCTGGCTTATCTTGCTTGAATGCAGCTCAAGGTTTTGTCCCTCCTGCATGCATACACACACACACACACACACACACACACACACACACACAATACGTCCAAAGCACCTCCAAGCATAATGGGAACTGTAGTTTACCTCTCACAGAGCCACACTTCCCAGCACTCTAAACAAACTACAGTTCCCAGGATCCTTTGAGAGTAAAATGTGCTTTAGATGTATGGTGTGGATGCAACCTTTATTTATAGATACTTGTAGTCCATCCTCTCCGTCACTTCCCACTTCTTACTGGCCCAGTCTGTCTGTTTTTCATGTAGCAATATGTGATGGGAATTCAGAGGGGTTCTTTTTAATAAATATATATATAACATTTTCCTAGGAATCGGGCCAATGCTATTGGGGCCAATGTGGAAGATGTGGTGGAGAATTTGAAGCAAGCAAACACAGCACTTCAGGAGGCCGAGGACACCATCAGTGGCTCTGGCTATTCCCTCCGGCTCATCCAAGACCGCCTTAATGAGGCGAGTGATACTTGAGTGTCTGGCTCTGAAGCCCCCAAATGAATGGCTTACTCTAAAGCAAGCCGGCAGGACTTGTGATCCTCCAGGCCCAAATACATCTTCATTGTTCTGTCGATGACTCATGTTAAAAAAAGAAGTAGTTCTGTGAAGGTGGAACACCTACACACTCCCCGACAGAAACAATAAAGCACATTACCTATTTAAAGGCATAACATTATAAAGATTGATTTCAGACTCAGAGCATCATAACTTTCCTTCCCTTGCACAGTCCAGGTAATGTCAACTATTCTAACCCTAAACAGTTAACATAAAAATATTCAGTCCCATTTCAAGTCTGGATAAGCTAAGTGTCTTCATTATTTCCTGCGACATGGATTGCCAACTGGGAGGACATGGGCAGTTGTTGGCTGTCTTGCATTTTTTCGTGCAAGAGAATATATTTTTGTACACACACATTTTTCCCGGTTCTGGGGAATGCTCTGTTTTTATTAGACAACAACAACAGCATTGTGTGTGTGTGTGTGTGTATACGTAATCAATATTGTGCAATCTCCACCATTGAGATTAGCAGGGCATGGGTGACTTCCTATGGCAAGCAGGAGGTTCTTGGGGGAGCAGGAGGCAGAAATCAGTAATGACTGGACGCGCTTCAGTTTTGTGTTCTGCTAGCCATTTTGTATTCTGCCACATCCTAACAACCACCATTTTAGAACTAGCACTCATAGCAGTCTAAATATTTGAAGTGTGCCTGCTGGTCCAAAAAAAGTTGGTGATTTCCATAGATTCTTGAGCAGAACAAAGTTTTTGCAATGAATATATTTTTTCAGGGACAAGAATTTTCATTGCTAAATGTTTCCTCCTTTGGGATGCTCAGATCCAGGCTGTCCTTAATCCAGCTGAGAAGCGTGTGCAGGACATCACTGGTCAGCTGGATGGTTTCACTGGGAGACTTGCCCAGCTACAGCTTAATGCAAAGCAGAACCTGTTGTTGGCTGCTGATGCTCAGCAAAAAGCAGGAGAAGCCAGTGAGCAAGCAAGGAGCACTCAGCAGGTATGGGAAATGGGAGCTTCCAGACACTACAATGTTTCTTCCCCCCTTCATTTTAAAGCTGTCACATTGTGATTCAAGGAAAACATATCACTGTGTTTCCTGTAGTTGTTTGCATGCTCTGGGGTGCAATATTAGTCAAGCAGCCCTGGCCAATACCTTTTGGGAGCTGCTTTGAATTCTGCTCCCAGTTTGGTGGTTATTCATGACGATGGCATGGTGCCTCACTATAATATAGTGTCTCTATCATACATACCTTCTCTCTTTTGCTTGCCCAGCTTTCCATGCTTGGTTCAATTATAGCCCTAAACAACAGACCACTGAGGAACTGATGGAATTCATAGAATTGGGTTGTTTAAAGAGCATTTTACATATCACATGCAGTTGTCAGCCTCAGCTCATCTTTTTTCATAATCCTTTGATCTAGTTATACAGGGGTATATTCAATGCACTTGTTCTATTAGTGCAAGGATTTGTGCTTGAGCAATGGAATTTCCCCCTTCCTCCTCTTTGCACCCTCTGCACCTTCCACAGATCTGCTCCAGAACATTGGGGGATATTGTAGTGGAGGTTGGGATATTGGAAATTCTATGGCATCCACATGATAGAGCCGTCAGATGTGTGACTTTAGCCTGTTCCCTCAATTTCTTCACAGAGATTTGAACAGGTGAGACAAAAATATGCAGAACTTAAGAGGAGGATGGGACAAGGATCAAACCTGGGAGACCAAGGGGCTCGGATCCAAAATGCCCACAAGGAGGCCAGCACATTGTTCACAGAAGCCTTGAGTATGATGGCCAAAATGGGAGGTAAGGAGAGCATGACTTATAGCTGACCTCACAGTAATTTTCTCTGCCTTGCCTGACCACACAGGATTATGGATTTGTAAAGAACTAAAGGTTCTCTTTGGATTAATTTTATCTCTAGAATAAGTAGAATCCTACTAAAGTCAAAAGCAGTATTGAAGGTGTTTCATTTTGGGTACAAATCTGGAATGGGGAACCTTTGGCCCTTTGGATGTTGATGACATCCAACTTGCATTAGTCCTAGCTGGTGTGGCCAGTAATCGGGGTGATGGGAGTCTGCTGAAGACTATAAGGCCTTGTGAGCATGTTCTCCAAAATGGAGGCTGTGTGCATTTCTGGAGTAGCAAAATCTCTGCCAGTCCAGTTTCAGGGTTTTGTGGAAAGGTGAAACGAACGGCGACTGCAATAACCCCCGTGTATCTCCGCTCTTTCTTTTGATGATATGTCCACTGAAGGGTGGGGTAGGGGTGTCATGTAAACACAGTGTCCTATAGAGCCACTCACAGGCTCGCATCTTAACAACTGGTTGCCAAGGCAAGTGCCAGATTTTTTCGATGCTTCATTTGAACACTTCAGTTTGAAGCTTTCAAACCTAATGACTTTGCTCGACACGCTTTGGGAAGCAGCCAGTGCGTAGACTAAATGCCATGGCCCCTGTAGCAGGTGGAGCATGAGTAACTGGCTGGCTCAGAGCCAGGGATGTTGCTGGAAAGGGGAGTCGGCGTTGCTTCCATTGATAAAGCTGTGCCTCTAATGAATGGCTTTCATTGAAGGTGCCTCTCTGTGCCAGAGACTTGGCAGCTGGCTGCTGCCAGGCAGTTACTCCTGCTCAGAGTTTGCTAAATGCAGCAAGGAGTGTTGATATTACTAAATAGAGCAGCAGGCAATTTCATATGCAGAACACGAAGAGCATATTTTACCAGTGTCTGCTGACGTCAATGCCAAAACTTGTTTGCCCCTAATCGGAAGGAACTGATTCAGGATGCTATGTGATAGAGCAGCAATTTTTTTAAAAAAAAATGTGGTTCAGATCCTGCCACTGTTTTAGGCAGGCTCAGTGGGGGGTATTAAGGATAGGCAGAAAATGTGGTCTGCAAGGCTCAAGGGTGTAGACTCAAGCAAAAGTCAGCTGCTGAATTTGTCTACTAAAATAGATGTACTACTATCCAGAACTTGCAGGAATGCTTGCATCAAACTGTGGCAGCACTTAATTGATTTGTTGTGCTCAAGGTCCTTTTTCCATCCTTGGAACCTGTCTTCTGCTTTCTGCATGCATATGCCTTTCCTGCTCTTGGGACTGAAGCTTGTTCTTTGCATTAGGAAGTTTAAAAGTAATGCTGAATTTGTGCACAAAGAGCTGTGCATGCTTGGTAATGCAAACAAGGGGGAGGGTAGGATGCAAGGAATCAGCCAGTGATCTCCAGAGATAAAGTGTGACCTTGAGAGATTAACACACACTCTGCAACAGGGGGCATATTATATAACAGCTTAGTTTCACTCGGATCAGATGAATGAGAAACCCATGGCTGCTGCTGAGCAACAGCCTACACACACATATATAATGTTAAAGAACTGGAGATGAAACAAAAACCTTTCTTTTCCGTGCATGTACCTGATTTCTTTTTCAACCCACAGCTATAGAAACAGAGCTTCAAGATAGCAACAGCGCATTTCTCCTTGAATCAGCCAAGCTGGCAGGCCTGGAAAAAAAGGTGGAAGCCATTCGCGATCATATCAGTCGTCGAGTTGAATATTACGCCACATGCACGGACTAGCACAGCCCTTCCTGTCTCATTTCAGATGCCTTTCCCCCTCTTTACAAATAAAACAACTTTATCAGGAGGAGAAGCTAGCTGTGAACCAAAAGAGCCCTAGCTTTTAAAGAAGTCAGTGGGTTAATTTATTTGCCTTTCAAGGTCTTTTTTATACTTTACAATTACTGTTTTGAATTAAAACTTGCAGATGGTTCCTTTTTATGTAGAATGTGTACTTATTTTGCAACTTTTGCACTACAGAAACAAGGGGGACTGAAGCTGGATTTGGATTAGGGAAGAAACACAGTCATGAATAGTGATTGTGAGCAGCAATAATAATGACACTGCTGTATCTTGGACTTTATATTACAAGGACATCTTGTCTTATTAGCCACCACCTGCTTTATTGACAGCATAACACTCTGCAGACGGCAGGAAGAAAATCTGCCCTTGGAGTTCAGGTGAGCGCCCTCCAGAATGAACTAACAGACCGCTTCCTTTGCCATCAATAACCAGCAAACACTTAAAAACCAATCAGCTTTATTAAGCATGGTACATATTGTAGAATCACTGGCTTGGAAGCAGAACTTGGCTTCATCAAGAGAATAGGAATGCTATGTATGTCCCCTCTGCATCCATTGGAAGATGTACAAGGAATATGGAAGTTTTTGTCCACCTACATCTGGAGGGCATCTCATTGGCTACCACAGCTGTAATGAAAGCTACACAAGCGAGCCAGCATAGAATGCATTCAGACTTGATCACCTTTTCCACATGGGCTCAGCACAAAAGAAGAACTCCTGGCAAGTGTTCTGTTATTCCACTGAACAGCTACAGGCTATAGATACAAAGCAAACATGCCCCCTACTTCCCGCCCCCGCATAAAAGATAGCTTTTTGCAAGGATGTAGATAAGTACACTGAAATGGCTAGCAAAAACCTGCCTTCCTTTCATAGAAATGTTTTCTTGTTGGTATTAATGACCCCTCTAACATTTCAAGTCAATTGCATCACAGAAGTCCTCAGGCCCAGTGCTTTCCCCCCCTAGAAAAATAGGTGCCGGTACTCACCATGAAGTTGTTACATTAAGTGCCATACTTTTTAACAACAAAAAAGAGGTGCCGGTACTGGAGTACCCCCTGAAAAAAAGCACTGCTCAGGCCTATGAATGTGTAGCACTTAAATAAATGGCCACAGGCAACTGAGAACTCACTTCGGCCTGGCAGAGCTCAGACCAGGCTCATCTTCTCTCTTCTTGCACAACTGATGTTTGATTTTGTGGCTTTGAAGAGATGAATCCAACAGCCCTTCTGAAAGAGATGAAATTCATTATTCATGTGTAACATAGTTCCCCAAAATTCAGAAGTGCTACAGTTGTTTATATTGTGGTTGGTGTTTTTAAAAGCTCTGCCCACTGAAACAGGGTGCTGAAATGGAGGATAATGGCTCAGCAAAAGCTACACCAGTGATAAAACTAAGTGTTTGTCCCCAAGAACCAAAACCGCTGCTGGATCTCAAACTGCTTTTCCACTTGGCAGAGATTATATACTTATTAAACATTAAGGATCTCTCAGAAGGTGGCACACTGGCCATAATCCAATATAGAGTTAAGCATGCTTTAAGGTGTGGGGATCTTTTCCATCCCAAAGGGCACATTTCCTCATGGGGAACCTCTGGGAGCTGCATGGGCCAGGCACCTTCATTCATTAGAAGTCAGAAATTTCTCTACACCCATCTCTCTAACCACCATCCAGGCAACCCACAGGTATGATCACACTTCAAGGACACATTCCAGTCAGGAAAAAGCACTCAAGAGGCATTGACCATCATGAGTCAATGGTGAATTAGAAAGGCCTAGAAGGCCATACTCAGCCCCTGGGTCTGAGGTTCCCTGGTTTAAGCTTTTTGACACCAGTGGGTTTACACACCCCTAGCTATGAGTTGGACAGGCTCTCATAGGGGAGCTTGACTTAAAGACTTATTTATCAGAGTGAGATTGGGGATATTTTCATTCAGGGGACATATATGGTGTTACGGCGACTGGCTGAATATTCATATCCTAGAAATCTCTAACCATAGGGTCTCTTGGCACCTGACAATTTCTTATGAGACACATCTGCATAGTGGAAGTTTACACCCTCCAGCTAAGGAGAATGAGAAGCAACTGGGTGTGTGTGCACATGCCAGCAATTTGGAGCAGGTAGAGCGCAAGGGAGCAGAGCCTTTTTTCTGGGGATCTGATGTGGGATAGTGGACCTGATGGCTTGCTGAGGAGGTGCAGGCTGTTTCCTTTCATTTACTCCCTACTTGTATATTTGTAAGCCAAATAAATGCTACAACAAGCACCCTAGAGCTCCAGTGGACTATAATGCAAATTAAATCAAAGAGTTTATAGTATGTGCCCAAAAAACTTTCTACTGCTCATATAAGTGCATTTTCTAGTGCAGTGCACCCTCCTGCCCTCCAAAGGCTGTCCAATGTAATCAAACTAGGCATGAAAGAATAGAGTGGGCCACAATTTTTTTTTTTTGGGGGGGAGGGAGCCTACCTGCACTCCCGTCTCCAGCGCTTTGGTATACATGCACATTTAAGCCAACTTCTCTAGCTAAACAAAGACGTTTTTCACTTAAGCAAGGACAGGAGAGAATGGAACTGGAACCGGATCATCAAGGTTTCACCTCTAGAAACGGCCCTGCAATACGTCTGGATCTAGACACACTTACCTGGTAAACGTATGAGAAAGACTCAAATGACTGATTTTCCAATCACATCACCAAACAAACTCCAGTTTGCCCAGTGCCAAAATAGGAGTGGTTACTGGCTTTCACTGGAACAAGGACTTCTGAGTTGAAATGACTGAGATTTGGAAGAGAACATTGAAAACAAAACAAGAGTGAATTATATGTGTGGAAAACAGCAGCAGCATTGTTTAAAAATACTTACATATGAATCAGCTCATCTATAGGTCAGCAGCTTTATGGCTCAAGGATCTATTCACCAATAAAGTGTGCAAGAAGTAAACTACTGCTTTCCCCCTGCATGATTTTGAAACTCACATCAGCATAAAATCCTTACAGCAGATTAAATGGTTAAGAATCAAGCTGACAGCCAGTTGGGGAAATAGTCTACTGCTTAACTTTCAACAATTTGGGAATCCTATCAGACACATTTCATACAAAACTGAGGCCCTGCAGAGTGTAATAACACACTGACATCCAAATTACAGATGTATCCAGCCTGTACAAGGGGTTTTTGATGAGTGCTGCAGTTCAGATGAAGTTACACACCCATATGCTTCACTGCATACACATAAGTCACAGGTGCAGAAGCCTACCTCTGCTAATTAACTTCCCTTGCTAGATTTGGATATTTTTGGGTTGTATCCAATGTTAATCATACTCAGAGTAGACCTACTGAAATTAATAAGTAAAAGGTAAAGGTACCCCTGCCCGTACGGGCCAGTCTTGCCAGACTCTGGGGTTGTGCGCCCATCTCACTCAAGAGGCCGGGGGCCAGCGCTGTCTGGAGACACTTCCAGGTCACGTGGCCAGCGTGACAAAGCCGCATCTGACGAGCCAGCGCAGCACACGGAAACGCCGTTTACCTTCCCGCCAGTAAGCAGTCCCTATTTATCTACTTGCACCCGGAGGTGCTTTCGAACTGCTAGGTTGGCAGGCGCTGGGACCGAGCAACCGGAGCGCACCCCTCTGCGGGGATTCAAACCGCCGACCTTTTGATCGGCAAGCCCTAGGCGCTGAGGCTTTTACCCACAGCGCCACCCGCATCCCACTGAAATTAATAGACAAGGCTAATTTAGGTCAACTCATTTCAGTGGGTCTACTTCAAGGAAAACTTAGTTGGATAAAACCTTTGCCTTAACATTTCAAAAGTAAGTGGATTTAAAAAAGCCTAATTTGAAAAATGAAGTACCGGTACTTATAAGGCTGGGTTTGCATGCAAGACCATAAAGTATATTTGAACATCTCATGCACTGCTTGTTCTATGTGGGAGTGTTGTTAATCTGGGATAAAATATGGATAACTTTAATGTGAACATTCCTGTCATTATAGGCTTTATATCCACCTTATAGAGTAACCTGAGAACAAACTAATTTAAGCTTCTTAAAGCTGTCATACTTTTAGGAGTTACTGTGAATCTGAAGGGTTTTCATGATTTGATGACACCAAATCACAGCACTCTACTTTTTAAAGCCATCAGTGCATTCTGGTTTTGTCAACGCATAGCAAAGGGAATCATTTCCAGCATGGTCTCCTAACAAAAGCGAATATTTTTGTGGGGTTCTGTGTGTGAAAGCAAATTACTTCAAGCCTGATATTACACCCTCAGGAAATTTTCAAGGCAAGGGAAATTGCCTTTTCATATTTTCCTTTGAATCAGAATCCGTGAGTTTTGCAATAAATCTCAAGATACGCCAAAGAAGATAAAGCAAAAATGGTTAGAGGTACAATTGTTGCTCTGTGGGAGCACATGCCAGCATCTCATTTGAGACCTGGTGGCAAAAATGCAATGGACAAAGCAAGTCTCTCCCCTACTGTATCCAGCTGCCCTGAACTGGTTTGGCAATCACAACCCATCTACAGCATAATGGAAAGGTTCACACAATGTATCAGGGAAGGCCGAAATGGTTGAGCACATTTAGCACAGAGGTATAATGCATACTGAATGCACACTGGATGATCAAAACCTGACCCCACCCCCCTAAAGCCCTACTGGGCAGAATTACCCACAATGTGCAGGCTTTGGACTTTATTAAAGTTCTCAAAAAGTCTCTCCAAGGTTCACATGGATTAGGCAAATGTTGCCACCAGCAAAGCTGGCCATTAAAAAGAATAGGGGGGAAACTGTTGCAATGGTCTTTCTGTGACACTTCTTTCCAAAATCTCATCCAGCTATCTCCCTTCAAGTTTTAGGAGAATCCCTTTATAGCCTGCATAAAGGGGATGGGTCAGGAGTGTGATGGTGAATTTTATTAGGTACTTCATGGTACCCCTGTTACTACTACTCTCCTAATTAATATTATATTACTTTGCTGCTTTGTAAAAATTGTTCCTGACTTTTGGAACTGTTTTAATGCTTCTTTTTGTACAGTTGGCTTTAATATAGTGTTCATTTTTATATTTGCATTGTAAGCTGCATTCGGTGCCCTTGTAATGCAAGAGCTAAGCCTTTGAAAAATGAATAAAAGAAGC